AGGTCAGTGAGTTTCCTCTAGCTTTGGGTGGTGATTTAATTGTTTTTATTCTTCTTTTTTGTTTAGATACGTCCGTGTGGTTCAGAAGAGAATATCTCCATATGAATGCGGTCCCAATGGGCTGGAACCCAATCGTCTTGTAAAGGTTGGTATTTTTTACCGCGGTCATCGAGATCATTCATGCTCTTCAAAAGTGTTACTAGATTGGATTACTTTCTAGCGCTTTTACGCTGTCTTTTTTTTCTGGGTGCAAAAAGGTTTAGTCAGGACGAACTATGGATGTGCCGAATATAAGGGAATGTAGCTGGCGTTTAGTTGAGCGAGGAGAAATAATGGGCTGTTTGGCATGGGAGGGGCGTTTTTCACTTCAGATCGTTTTGTTACTCCATGTTAACTAGCAGGTATCACTCAGATGACACCTGTAGATAAAGCTGTGAAAAGGGGCAACAAACCGATTTGGTCTCAGGAGTTAACATGTCTTGATAGGGTGACCGCATAAGCTTCGCTGAGCACGATTTAGTGCCTCCACTTAGTCGATCTGCACCGAAAGAATGGTCCAGTGTCTCTGCTTAATTTCTGACTACTAGAGGGTTATACATCGATGGAAACCCATTATAGTAAAAGTTACCAGTTGTATCCACCATGGAAGCATGAACTAGCACTAGTGCTTAAATATAATGCACAAGTTAAAGATGAATCATGATTTGTTATCATAGCGCAGGGGCGGAGGTGGTGCGGTGGCAAACGACGTTTTGCAGACATCCACTGAACTTTTCATGTGCAGTAATTCAGCGCATGTCAGCGGTTTCAAATTCCGGATGGGTTCCGCCCAGGTCAGCCAGGCTATGCATACTTCTGGGACTTGTTATTTGATATCAGATTCGTCTGGGAGGATAAAAACTCTCAGTTCTACCTCGGCAGTCTGCAGGCCAGTTCCAGGGAGTAGTTTTCACTGCACAGTGCGCACGATCGCTGGAGGCGGGCGGTTGTTGCCAGCGCCATTGGTGGAGGGGAGATGGCTACATCCCCACAAAGCGTTGGCACTTCGGCCGAATGCCCTCCTTCAGCCTTTCCTCCAGTGACGCTGTCAGCAATCGCCTGCCTCAAGGAGTCGCGCCAACGCCTCTTAAGCAGGGTGGAGAAACACAGCGCTGTAGGGAATACCTGGGGAACAACAACTTGACCCTGAAAGATAAGTTTTCATGGTCAGGTCTAATCGTAAAATGCTTGTGTGAATGTCTTGTAGTTAAAGCTTACTTATTGTCAGTGGGAGTGGTCGCGCTTCAGAGTGTTAACTCAGGAAAAAAGGTTTTCAAGGAGGAAATCCGATGTTACCAGAGGATTTTCCGTCCTGCCATTCCATTTCTAGCATATAGTTTCAGTAGTATACATTGTGCTATACAGGAGCTTGAACCAAATGTAAAAAGATGTAGAGGCATCAGATATTTCACTGCAAAAACTCTCAAGATCCAAAGGAGTCCAAATGTTACTGCAAAATTTTTCCAATTTCGAATTTCCACGGCTTATCAGTGTCTCAGCGAACTGAAATGCAGCATCAGACTAGCGGACTGTTTCTCTAACTGTGGCTTCAAATCGCCGATAAAAGTGCCAAATATAAAAATATTTGAGGAAAGGAACAGTTTGCTCAGTTCTGGATCGTTCGGTGTCCCTTTCATGTTTTCGCTTTCGAAACTGTTCTACTTTTTTTCAGTCCAAGTGATCTTTTAAATTCCATATTTAGGAATACGCCAGAAGTGCGGCTGACCAGGATAACCCTTTACCCCATGAACTGCGGCCGAAAGAATTGTTGAAGGACACCATGGATTATCTTCTCAAATACGTAAGATACCCATCATAGCAGCTCCCCGATATTACTTATTTCGGCGGATTTTCAGGTACTTGATTCTCCACCCGAAAGTGATGACGATTTAGCCATGTGGTATGATTTCTATGGAGTCGTACGCGTGCTATACGCAAAGAAATTACCCAGCTCATGTTATCGGATGCTACTGCTGTAGCTCTTTTTGAAAGGTCCGTTGGAAATCATGCTATTATTTACCGTGCACCTATTATAAAATTGTAGTTATTCATTGCTATTTTCTGAGTTCAAGACCAAACTCCGAAAAAAAAGAATTCAATGAGTTTGTGCATTTATAGACTGTTTCGCTGCGGACGAAGGGGCATGCCAGTTGGGATGAGTCTGGCGCAGAGTCAAACTAGCTCCACCAGTAACTAAAGCGAGCAAGTGACAGTACGGCATCATATTCTTATCACTCGCTTTTTTTCCCCATCCTCGTATACCCGCTTCCACAATTGGCAGATAACGGGTTTAATGCCGTGGCACACTCATAGCTGACACGACACGCCCCTTCATCAGCAGCGAATCAGAGCATATCTCACTTGCTTTCAGTTTTGACACTTTCAAGATGAGCCGGTTGACTGCAACCGCAGGCTATGGTTGAGGAGTTCTTCCGATAGGGTATGGTCTAGTGCTGCAGGGCGCGAAGCAGTTGTTGTGAGCCCAAAGAATAAAAACTTTTCTTTGAGCCAATGTTCAGAGCTGGAGGGCGGAGGATTAGTTCTCATGTCGTTATTCGAACTTGTCGAAGTTTACAGTAACGTGCTCTCTGAATTCGTGGAGTCAGGGGTGTTACAATGACGCAGGTACGGTTTTCTCAAGCCTGACAGAAGTTGCGGTGCAGTTGACAGGGTTTGCAAGACTTGACTTTCGGATGCGACACGATTGTGCGGTATTCACACAAATACATTCGACACGACTTACCAAAGTCTGTATGCTGACATGTTGTGCTCCCCCCCTCCCCCTTCTCCCGCGATACTTTGTTTCGAATGAATTGAGTCCCTAAACAAATAGTATTGAAATTTTCATTGTGATTCCTGAATAGGTAATATTTCGAAAAGCTCAGTATTCAGCGCAACTTTGTTTCTAGGTGTGCTCGACTTCATATTCTGTGCGCGTACAAGCTCTGCCACCTGGGCTTTGATCGCTTCGATCAGAACATGAATACGGAAAACCTTGCAAAATGTCTTCAGTCTCTGAGACACCTTTATGAAGATTTGGGTAGGTTGTGGATTTCCGTGCTTCGCCGTCTGTCATGAGCTGAACAGTACTTCAAGTATATCTCAGAACTCCACAGTATAACAATGCACTGAGTCGGACTATTTGGTACTTTCAGGATTACAAGGCGAAACTTTTGACACGGAGGCTGAGTTTCGTGGTTATGATGTTATGCTGCACCTCCATGACAGCAATATAATGAGACAAGTATGTAAAAATTATGCCTTTAGCACTGCTTACATTCTTCCAATTTCAGGGGTCTTCCTCAATCATGATTTTCTAGGTTGAACTGGTCTCATTATAGGTGTTGTCATATCGAAAGGAAGTTCGTGAATCTCAGCCAGTTAGACTAGCCCTTCAGCTGTCAGGCGCTTTGCAAAACAAGAATTATGTGAGGTCAGTTCGTCGACAATTTATGGAACTGTTCTGTTCCTGTAGGACTGCTACCGACGTCTGACATATACATACATGAAAGAGAACTGTAGTCTGTGAAAAGTCAGACGTGAGGATCAGGGCATAACATTTGTTGTGTAAACCACAATGGGGTCCCAACTGGCCACTGCAGAGGAAGGGGATCGTACCTTGCCATTAAAAATTCATCTGGTTCCAAGTATGCTACAGTCTTGTTCGCTGTACATGAAATGCAAGAGGGGACGAGTTTGGCGCGGCACGACCTTGTTTTCTTTCGGCGAGCGACAAGACTGCAATATCGTGGGTAACAGTCACAGATGTTACCGCTCACCCGCTTCAACAACTGGTGGAGAAGAACAGGCCTGGCGAAGAACAGGCCACAACCATTCTCACTGACACGTCCCTTCATTCGCGGCGAATAAGGCTGCATATAATTCTTTTCGTACTTGGTAACACAGCAGAACTACTGACAAATGATCGAAAGTGTGTACCCATTCCCCGTCCTCCCCGTTTGCTTGATGGCATAGCTTTGGGACAAAGCTGGTGAAAGAGAAGACAGGTTGAAGGGGGGGGGGTCGTACCGGAAGAAAAAAATCTATAAGGTTGTGGGTCTTAGCTAAAATTTTGTACAACGATAGCGTCCCCTAATGAGCATGGTACTGATTGTGAGACGTTACATTCGTCTTGCGGAGTTGCACGGTACTCTCATCGGGACCTAAACCTTGATTTGGGGTAAAAGTGTCCGTTTGTCTCATTTACTTGCTGTACTAGCTACATGCTATATATTGCGAGTTAGAGTGGATGCGTTGCCGTAACTAAACGTTACATCTCACCGGGGAATCGTATCTGCTCAGTCTATTTCATGATTTCAGATTTTTCCGTTTACTGAAGAAAGAAGCCACATTCCTACAGTGCTGCATCTGTCATCGTTATTTCAACACGGTAGCTTTGAAAAACTTATGCATTCCTACTGATAAAGTTAACAACATTCTTGCAGGTCCTTTCAAATGCCTTGCTTACCATGATGACTGCCTATGGTCGCAGTGCTGCATTTCTCTTAGATACGAGATATTTGCTACGAATTCTTGCTTGGGATGATACTGGAGACGTTATAAAATCTCTCGCTCTCTATGGAATCCATCCAAATAATTTGGACAATGAGCAGGTGATTTATTTATCGCTCCAGGTGTCTCCTTGAATAGACATCGTAATGCATTCATTCTGCTCCATTTTTCCCATTTTTCCTTGGCACAAAGGATGACTCCGTTCATGAGGCTGATCTCCAGCTCGAAGAGTCCAACAAACAACTCGAAGACAAACCCCGCGATTGTATAGTGTGGGTAATGGCGTTCAGTTATAGTTGCTAGGTGATTCTCCAGGAAAGAAAGAAGGGAAACAAATCATGTAGAACACCCCAAGTAAGAACGTGGCAGCCTCTTTTGACGAAATCTCCGGGCCCGAGTTTGATGCTAACAGAAGGGTATCCTACCGTATGCGGCTTACTAATCGCTTCCTCGCTCATCCGATGCTAACACCATCCGATAGTTAAAAAAGAAAAACCCTGTCTAAAAACTGAGCTCGTGACAGAAAACAGCCTTTGAGTTTTGGTGGGCGGGACAACTAGGGAGGCGTCAGAACTGTCACTCATGAGGGCCACAGCGCCTTCGTTACTCATTGTGAATCCGCGGAAATTGGCTCAGAGGCTGCGAGCCAGTCTACTTTAACGGGAAGGACGCATACGACTCGGTTAAGCGCGGGAACTGTCTCCAAGTTTTATAATTTTCCGTACGAGTCGTATGATGTATATTTCAGGTGTTTTTCGACCGTGATGAATTTATACAAGATCCCGATGCGCCAGCAAGACCTTATCGTTGGATAAATGCAAAGAATTATGCTGCATGGAGTCAGGTAATTTCGAAACTTGATATCTATCAGTATTGTCCATTTCATGGTTGCAGGTGGTCTACGGACCCAAACCCTTCTCGTTCTCTTCTGTTGCTGTGATGGCGGATTCGTTCGATGGTTCTGGGCGTTATAACAAAGACCCAGTTCTTTTGGCTGTTTTTGAGAAATACTCACTTCAAGTAAGTCTAAATAGGACATCTTAGATTAGCAGGAAGTTTTCCTTGGTTTCATGAACATCTTAGATTAGCAGGAAGTTTTCCTTGGTTTCATGAGTCTTTGCAGTCGGAAGTTCAGCAGTTAGTATCCGAGCAAGCTGCAGCACCGTTCAAGCCGGCTTCGATAGCGGCTATTAGACAAGGACACCATGAAGCGCGATCATGGGTTTGTGCACTATGTTTTTCTCTGAAAATTTAAAATTTCGTTGAAAGGTGTTGTGCACTTCAGCAGCTTGAAGACAAACTGTACACTCACCTAAGTTGACTGTTTTGCCTTGTGCGAGGTGAATGGTCCGCAGCTGCCATAGCAGGCCCCCGTCCTCCAGTCAAAAAAGTTTAACGGGGTTGAAGGTTAGTGATACCCGAGTGCCGTCTGCATACTCTTCCCGCGCTATCCGAAACGGGTAGCACTTGATCGATATTAAGGTCCCAAAGCGAAGCATAAACTTAATGGTAGAGAACAACAAGAAGTGGTAGGGCGCAAATGGGACATTCGGCTATGGCAAGGCTCGCCTTGTGGCAGCGCAGGCGGAGTATGCACCAGCGTATCACTACCCTCCAACCCTGTTTCCGTGCACTTTTTACTCAAGGAAGCGCCATGCTACTGCGCTGCGGACCAGTTCTTCCCACATAAGACAACGACCAAGATCCACGGAGGTGAGTGTAGCCTTTGTCTTTGAAGAGACACCGTGAGAGCAACTGAAGAGGTGGATACTTTCCGTGCGCATGTTGGCGAAGTCCGCAAACTTAGGAGGGTGGTACATCCGTCATTCGAAAGTGTGGGGTAGCGAAGTTAGGGATAGCTTTTTTATGTTCCTCATCTTTCTGTCCTTCATTCGGTGCGCGAGCAAGGTCATGCCATGCGCCACACGACCAGTCGTGTGGCTTTAATCAGAGGAATTCGTTTCCGCGCTTACAGCTTCGTTAATACGACTGTGGACCTGCCCATCCGCCTGCTATAGGTCACACCTGTAAGTTTCAGTGCCTGTGTCTTCTAAGTACTCCTGAGATTCAATTCCAGGTGAGTTCCACCGTTGAAAATGTAGTGCGTGAGGTGTCAGACAAGGAGTGTCTTACAATATGTCGAGCTGCAAACGTAGAGGAACTGTCGACGTCTATTTCGGGCTGCTTAATAGACGAGCTTACCAGGTAACCTGGAAACCTGTGTTTTGGTCAACTGTATTCTGAAATAGCTTTCGTTTCCTTATTACAACTGCGGTTTTTCCGGAATCTACTTGTGGAAGCGATGAAGGAGGAGCGACAGGAACGAGATCGTGAGCGAGCGCACTTGGAATCAGAAAGACTGAAAGAAGAGAAAGTGAAACTTATACGTCGGATTCTCGAGAAATTGCTTGATGAAGTCGTTGCAGAGCAGATGAAAGCGCTGATCAAACAGGAATTGAGGTGGGAACATTAGCCATGTCACCTAATGCTTGCTTTCTACATTTCGATTTCAATATTATTGGTGTGTAATGTCAATGAGCGTTCTCTATACGTCTTCACGATAGTTCTTATCGGACTGCAAGTTACCGTAAAGACAAACTGCACACTCACTCTGTGGATCCAGGTCTCTTTCATGTGTGATCTGGAAGGGCCCGCAGCTGCACTAGCGTGCCATTTTCTTGGCTCACTGCGCGGGAATGGGGCAAGAGGGTAGTGATACCCATGCGTCTCCATACTCCCTCCTGCGTTGCCACACTACTAACCACACGCTTGAACCATAGCCGAACCTGCTTCTTGTCTATGCCGTCTCACTTCTGGTTGATCCCTACCTGTCTTCCCTTTGACACCTACATTTATGACACAGGCGTTGTGCGTTTTCGTGCTAAATGAATGTGAGATTTGTTTTTTCACAAATCGAGCTACAGCACGGGACAAATTTTCTAAAGTATGGAGGTTTAGGGTGGGGGATATTAGCCGGTTTCAATGGCGCGGCTACCGGGTGTTTTCGTATCAGGGGAATGGAACTATCAAGTCTGGTCCGCGTAGTGGAATATTGATGAATGTGTCGCTTGGAATTCTTGTGAGCGAGCTGAATTCTGAATAACTGAATTTTGTAGTCTTTTCCAGAGATGGAATTTGCGCCCATATCGATACCACAGCAAATCTTTTGCTGGAGGAGTTGTGGCGCTCAAAATTGTGGCACACTGTCGATAAAGAAACAAAAGCGATCCTCAAGAAAACGTTAAAGTCGGAAATGGACGAGGCTAGTTCACACGATCAACGATGGCAGCTTCCTTATGGTTTTCGAAATTTACTTTTACATACGTGCTTTTAGATCACAGCTGGACTTCAGCGATTCCGGGAACAGATGGAGTTATTGTGGTTACGACAGTTTTGGGATGTTTGGCGTACTCGGGTATTGGAGAACCGAAGGAAGCGCCAAGAACGTCGACATGATTGGGGAACATTTCGAGGCGTTTGGAATTGTCAAAGTCAGTTGTTCTTCTGCTCACGCTTTAATCGATTTCGATAAGACGCAGTTTGGTTTTGTTGGTCGTTGTATAATAATTGATTTGTTGGCGCTGTTCGGAGTAGGGGGAGGGTGGCATTTTGCACTTTCGCTAGCTTCCGTTACTAGTTCCCGTTGACCTACATGTCCTACCTTGGGAGAAATGCTGGTTTTTGTCTAATGTTAACGAAGCTCATGCTACTGCGTAATTTTGCAGGAATTCACAGGTTTTTTAAAGTAGGCATCGGCTGTAACCGAGGGAAGAAGGGAGCAAAATGCCCCTTCGAAGCCGAACTACGTCTGAATTGTCATTTATTTGTTGTTGTGGTTCTTTGTGCAATAAGTCTTCCTTCACAATCTGCAGGCTCTTACTGATTTAAATTCTCATTTCAGTGTTCTCACCATCTAATTATGCAAAACTCAACAAATCTGGTCATGGCGCTAAGCATTCGTTAGCTCTGTGAGTTAGTTTTCACGCTGGTGATTTCCGGTGGTGTCATTGGGTCCTTGATGAGCACTGAGTGTATGAGGCCTGTTCAAGGAGTGGCGAAAGGGGGAACGCAGTGTGGGGAGGGGCCATCAAAAATACATTCCGTACACTCCTTCTGAAAACGGTCAAGGCCTTTGCTACAACATTTTGATGTGGATTGTAATTTTTTGTT